TCAGACAACAGGAGAAGATGCACATTGTGAGCGGAGCATGTGAGCGGAGTGGTAATATTTCCTCCAGAGCAGAGAGCGCATTTCTGAAGATCACGCGCCGCGTGCTCAGTCCACTCAGCGCCGCTCGCTCAGAATGCCCGCAGTGACATGCTGGTTAGAAAACATGGGAAGTAGGGCTGCCCGTGCACGACGTAGTGCCCGTGCTAAAGTTTTTTTTTTTTCTAGTTGACTAGTAGTAGTTGATTTAAGCCATTAGTCTAATCACATATTTATATTGATTAAATTACTTAAATATATATAGGAGAGAATGCTAAACCATAATGAGCGTTTTCGAATATATTGCCTATTCTGCATCTCAAAGCACGCATAAAGCTTGCCACAAAGAACCGGCAAAAGTAATTATTATGCATGAAACATTTGAATTGTTTATTAATGAAAAACTTCCTATGTCAGTGGCTGCACAGATAAAGTTTACGATGCAGACTCGCATCTTCGCAGTAGTGAACGCGCATAGAGAGAAATGCACACTTCATATGAATTACCCTACAGAGAGACGGGTACGCGCTCCAGTTCACGCGCTGGTGCCTCCGTGTCCGGCTTATATTGTCTAATATATATGCTTCTTATTTATTAATCCAGGCAATTCGTTGATGAAACATTGATTAAAATGAAGATACAATTTATACAAAACGAAATTCACTTTAAAGAAAGGCTTTCTACAAAACAAAACGTAATAAGTGGTCAAAAATCATGTCTGACCCATTCCAAATGTTTTCAGATATTGGGCATCTTATGATCCTATCTTATTCATCTCATGCAGTTTCCTTTTCATATAATCAATATAGATGAAATAAAAAAATAACAACATTATATTATTAAACATAAATATGAAAAGAAATAAGTTTTTTTTTTTTACTTATAGCCTATTTAAGTGTCACACCGCTCCGCTGTAGCTGTGTAGCCTACATGCATGTGTGCGTGCATATGGTGGAGGGGTGCGATTTTCGAATAATAATCAAATACCAGGCGATCTTCAAATATTATTTTTGCTTGAAATGCCCATCCCTGCCAAACTGCAGAAGTCGTGTTCTTCTTCGAGACCAGGTCACATGCGCAACTTGCCATCTTTCCCCCTCTCTCCCCCAATCTTTTTAGCCATTAAATAAATTATATTTAATCCTTGTCTCCTATATAAGTGCATTGGATTTTTTTATGACGGTATGACGATATTGAAACTCATACCGTTGCTATTTTTAGATCCCGCGGTATACGATATTACCGTATTACCGCCCAAGCCTACACCCAATACACATATTACCGGACTTAAAGAGATAGGAGTAGTAGTAAATTGAGATACATACTGAGTCACTTTCCTCAACTTTTGTACCTCACCACATTCCCAAACACAATGAAAAAATGTGCCTTGGAAATTATTGCATTTAAAACATAAATCAGGAATACTAGGGTTAAATTTGTTTAATCTCACAGGTGTGATATAAGTTCTCATTATCCAATTATATTGCAACAGTCTTAAACGAGTATTTATAGTTTGAGTTTGTGCTTTTAAACATATTGCACCCCACTCATCTTATAAAATGTCTTTATTTAAATCCTGCATCCATGCTCGTCTTATATTTTCCGAATTTTCTTTATGATTCTGTACAAGTATATTATATAATTGGGTAATTCGCCCTTTACTGAAACAGTCTTGCGTGGAAAAGGTTTCTAGTGTGGATAATGAAGGGAGTTGCACAGAAGTTCTTTAGGGAGTTCTTTAGTTTTGAAAAAAGAAAACTTCTGAGCTGCAGGTATTTAAAAAAAAATGTTTACGGGGTATATGAAACTTTGATACCAGATTGTCAAATGACATTAAAATATTGTCTTCAAATAAGTCCATCAATCTAACTATTTACTGTTTGCACTTTTTAATGTAAATCTATTTAAATTATCATGTGCCTAATGTTTGTATTGTGATTTTATATATATATTTTTAATACTTGTCTGTTACATTGGGGTTTTTACACCATGGGTCTGAGGGAAACGGAACTTCAATCCTCTGTATGTCCTGTATATATAGTAGAATTGACAATAAACTTGAAATCACAATGTGGATTAAAAAAAAAAAAGTAGGAATTTAATGAAAATAAATTTAATCTGAGACGCATGAACTACAATGGAAACACATTTACCGAATAAATCCTTGACGCGCATCAAAAAAAGTCATGTGACGTCACGGTCACAGTCCTGCAAAGTAACATCTTTAGCAACCGTGTGAAAGTGAATGGCACATAAGTCACAATACTGGGTATAAACATCTATTGGTACAATATGCGTCTCATGAATAAGTGTGCGTCATTGTTTTCATGAGCCTCAATTTTCAGTCCACACTACAACGTGAACATTTTTCAAATGTATCCACTTGGGGAAACTGAAGGCCAAAACGGAGAGAAAAAGATGTTTTCAAACAAAAATATATTAGTGTAGACAAGGCCTAATTTGGGCCTGAAATTCCCTGGTTTTGTCCGTAGTGTTTCAATGCACTGATATACATATACTACAAACATAGTTTCACAGATGCTATAGTACATTTTCATTAGAGAAATATCATTAATGAATCCTTCTCTCCCTAAGCTAAAAGCTATATTAGTAAAGTCTAAAGTGCAATATTGGAGATGCTGTGAAGCGTCCCTTGAGAGGGTGTCAAATGGGTGTCAATTACGCTTAATGCAGGCAGCATCTAAGGAGTGTTTTTACTCCCCAATCTCTTTATACTTGTTTTTGGAATATTCCATTTCATTAATCGACTCTTGTATGATCCAATCTTTCTGTTGTATGAGTAACAATCTCTGTAAATCATGCTTAATCTGCCGGATGTCTTTTAGTTGTGGCCTACGCTGTTGTCTTCTAGCGGTTTTCCCTTTCTTCATTTTAGTCTTCGTCATTCTTATCTCCTGTTAAAAATCTCTTGAGTCTAGGGAGAATAAGGCGTGCAAAATACTGAACGTGTACTGGAAAACATCTCACACAAACCAGTCTAATTCAAGTATAGTGATAATTTATTAAAGGGAAAAATAAGATGTAAAGAATACCTCAAGATAATTATTTACATAAATGTACAACTTCTATACAAAACATAACCAGGGAAAAGGTCCACAAAAGAAAGAGGTAAAGAGAAAAGAACTAGACGGTGCCAAATCAAAAAAAGAACCGAAACCAATCTTACTAGATATAAACAAAACAATTTATAACCTAAGTTAACCTAGCCTCGTGAGACCATCCTGATCTCGTGAGCTTTCAAGGTTTCACTCGCAGATCAGTCTGGATACTTTCCGTTAAAGAAAATTTGGGAGCAGTTCACCAAACGAACGTCCAATCAGCGTTGGCTTTGAGGCGGGTTGAGGTGTGACGCAACGAGAAGCCTATGCGAGAAGCGCGTCAGTTCAGTCTAAAGAACATGTCGGCTTCAGCGGATGAAACTAGCATCAGCGTGGCTATCGAGCAAGTTTTATCGGAATTACAGAGTATTTCTTCACTGAAAGAAGAGCAAAACACTGCTCTGGAGGCTTTTCTCAGAGGAAAAGATACGCTCTGTTAGTACGTCATATGCTTCGTTGATCTGATTGGTTGATTTGGCCCGTCTATCACCAACATAGGCCAATCAGCTAACCAGTATTTTCGCCCCTTACCAAAACTACTTCAACGGAAGGTTTCCAGATGGATATGCGGAGCAAATCCATCTGGCGGAGTCAGGTTAAAGTTAACCGTCATCAAAAACAAAAAGATCTTCAGCGTCAAAAACGCCATAAATGAACTACTCTTACTACAAAACGAAAAATACAAAGAATGGCACGTGTTGCATCATGTATATCATGTGATATCTCACCTGTTCTTTTCTCTTCCCCGTTTAATAACAGGTCTAACAACCAGAACAGAAAAACCGCGAAATACGACCCAAATGAGCCTCTATTTACCAAGTTCTCAAAGAACACTGCGTCTCTCAAACATTAAAATGGTACAGGGCAATCATGCATCAGACAGATCAAGTGAAAGTGGGCTCTATTGTGCAAATCATCTCCCGCCTCCCACACAGGTGTGCTCTTTATAGGCACATGACGCACCCTCATTGGTGAAGCCGCGTTGTATCATTTCGATGATTGACAGATGGCTGGATCAATCAGGTAGCCGCATCGTCTTACTGAGAATGAATGTAAAGCGAGAAAAGGGGGAACTAAAAAACAACCCCAAACAAATAATAACATAGGACGTAACATCTCCGCATGTGTTTTTGACATCCTCTCTTCACGCTTCTGTGTCCTCTCGTTAAGTTTTGTGGTTGGTTATAAACATTTAGTTCAGGAACTTTAGCTTTCACAACTTTTGCTTATTTCATCCTGTTTATAAAAAAATGAAGTCAAGTGCAATGTCATTCTATGAATTGCAGGTGCTTTTCAATCGAATAGCATTCAAGCATCTTTATGTAACTACCTTAAAAGCAAGGAAAAATAACTTATTTGAAATGGGTAAATGGCAATATAAGTGTACAAAACTATAGATGGAGTGCATTGCTTTACATTCATTACTTATTTATTACTAAAAAAGAAATCAATCTGGTGTTTGCATGCTATCAGAAATGCGCCTCTGTGTGTACTGAAATTGAGTTCTCTTTTGCTTCTTGCGCTGAAATGTTTTTTATAATCGCTTGAATGTGTAAATTGGCATGACAACTTGTGCAAGTGATACACTTTCGCTCTATGATGGTTAAACTTTGCAACTAACTCATGAATCACACTACGATCTGATTTACCCCTAGAAATACCAAACTATACTCTTGCATTTATGCATTAAGCAGATGATTTTATCCTAAACAACTTGCATTTCATTCAAGGTACATTTTAACAGTTCATGCAGTCCCTGAGGATTTAATTGTAAACTGTGCTGTTGCTAGTGCCATGTTGTACTGTTTCAGCTTGCATGAGAGACTAATTCTCAATCTCTTACAGCGTTTGTGGGAAATGGAAAAGGCTCGACTCCTGAATGTGTTGAAATCTAATCTGGACAAGGAGCTGGAAGAGGATGATCTATTTATCATTGAAGATGATCACGCGAAGCCGGTGTCCATGATCGCAGAATTCCATGACAGTCTCCGCTGCCCACTGTTTGAAGTTCTGAAGTATCCGTACCTGCTTTGCTACCGTGATCTGTGTAAGTCATGTTCCCATTACCAACCTCATTCTGTGTGGTGGTTAAAAATAAGGACTTCAAACTGGAGGGTTGCTGGTGTGATTTTCCTTAAGATGCAAACCAGGTTATTTACAGTGGTTTGTCCCTGTTCAAAGCAGCGTTGAATGACTGTTTCTTTTTTAAGAAACTAATTCCACTGAGCATGAGCAATAGTTATTATACTGTTCTGTTTCACTCTAAAGGCCCTTGCACACCGAAATTTTCGTATGCGTTTTTTCGTATTCGTGATTCAGTGGCTCTGAATTGTCTCAACACCATTCAAACTGCTTGCTACGGATGCGAAAAACGAAGAAAATCGAACACGATCCAATATATATATACATATACATATACATGCACTCACCTAAAGGGTTTTTAGGAACACCTGTTCAATTTCTCATTAATGCAATTATCTAATCAACCAATCACATGGCAGTTGCTTCAATGCATTTAGGGGGGTGGTCCTGGTCAAGACAATCTCCTGAACTCCAAACTGAATGTCAGAATGGGAAAGAAAGGTGATTTAAGCAATTTTGAGCGTGGCATGGTTGTTGGTGCCAGACGGGCCGGTCTGAGTATTTCACAATCTGCTCAATTACTGGGATAACACACACACAACCATTTCTAGGGTTTACAAAGAATGGTGTGAAAAGGGAAAAACATCCAGTATGCGGCAGTCCTGTGGGCGAAAATGCCTTGTTGATGCTAGAGGTCAGAGGAGAATGGGCCGACTGATTCAAGCTGATAGAAGAGCAACTTTGACTGAAATAACCACTCGTCACAACCAAAGGGTATGGGGTATGCAGCAAAGCATTTGTGAAGCCACAACACGCACAACCTTGAGGCGGATGGGCTACAACAGCAGAAGACCCCACCGGGTACCACTCATCTCCACCACAAATAGGAAAAAGAGGCTACAATTTGCAAGAGCTCACCAAAATTGGACAGTTGAAGACTGGAAAAATGTTGCCTGGTCTGAGTCTCGATTTCTGTTGAGACATTCAGATGGTAGAGTCAGAATTTGGCGTAAACAGAATGAGAACATGGATCCATCATGCCTTGTTACCACTGTGCAGGCTGGTGGTGGTGGTGTAATGGTGTGGGGGATGTTTTCTTGGCACACTTTAGGCCCCTTAGTGTCAATTGGGCATCGTTTAAATGCCACGGCCTACCTGAGCATTGTTTCTGAACATGTCCATCCCTTTATGGCTACCATGTACCCATCCTCTGATGGCTACTTCCAGCAGGATAATGCACCATGTCACAAAGCTCGAATCATTTCAAATTGGTTTCTTGAACATGACAATGAGTTCACTGTACTAAAATGGTCCCCACAGTCACCAGATCTCAACCCAATAGAGCATCTTTGGGATGTGGTGGAACAGGAGCTTCGTGCCCTGGATGTGCATCCCACAAATCTCCATCAACTGCAAGATGCTATCCTATCAATATGGGCCAACATTTCTAAAGAATGCTTTCAGCACCTTGTTGAATCAATGCCACGTAGAATTAAGGCAGTTCTGAAGGCGAAAGGGGGTCAAACACAGTATTAAGGGCTGTTCACACCGGGACTAATTTCGCGCGCGTTATTCGCCGACGTTTAACGCCTCGTGACTAAACAAAGGAAGCCTATGTGAGTGTGCACACCGATGTGAAAAACGCCACGCGTAAAAGCATCATTTTTTAAAAACCGCCTCGGGTTCGTTTTTTTGGTTTGACGCACCGCGTCAAAAACTATCCGACCAATGAGATTGGCGCTTTTGCTCACGTGTCTGGAGGTTCTGAAGTTACAGTAAAACACAACTTGGGGGTGCTCAAACACAAAACGGTCTTGCCGAGCACACAAACGTTACGGCGAAGAAGATGCGCCAAGTAGCGTCTACACACCATAGATATCCATAATAAAGGCTAGATGTCTCGTCCGCGCTGCTGGCCAATGGCCTTTATTATGGATTATCTATGGTCTACACTGCCGGGAAGAAATAAGACGAGGAAGATGCAAGGCAAGATGAATGTAGAGCTGCTGGTCTCGTTGGTGTCGGAACATAAAGAACTATGACAAACGCGACAGCGACTACAAAATAGGACTATTTCTGTTTTACATTGAGCGCCATCTAATGTCAGGGAATGAATTTGCATGTTCACTCGGCTCATCGTCAGCGAAAATCGCTTGGGTGTAAACACAAACGCGTTGAAAAATGCTGACGAATAACGCGCCGATATTCGTCCCGGTGTGTACGAGCCTTTAGTATGGTGTTCCTAATAATCCTTTAGGTGAGTGTGTGTGTGTGTATGTATATATATACACTCACCGGCCACTTTATTAGGTACACCTGTCCAACTGCTCGTTAACACTTAATTTCTAAGCAGCCAATCACATGGCGGCAACTCAGTGCATTTAGGCATGTAGACATGGTCAAGACAATCTCCTGCAGTTCAAACCGAGCATCAGTATGGGGAAGAAAGGTGATTTGAGTGACTTTGAACGTGGCATGATTGTTGGTGCCAGAAGGGCTGGTCTGAGTATTTCAGAAACTGCTAATCTACTGGGATTTTCACGCACAACCATCTCTAGGGTTTACAGAGAATGGTCCGAAAAAGAAAAAACATCCAGTGAGCGGCAGTTCTGTGGGCGGAAATGCCTTGTTGATGCCAGAGGTCAGAGGAGAATGGCCAGACTGGTTCGAGCTGATAGAAGGGCAACAGTGACTGAAATAACCACTCGTTACAACCGAGGTATGCAGCAAAGCATTTGTGAAGCCACAACACGCACAACCTTGAGGCGGATGGGCTACAACAGCAGAAGACTCCACCGGGTACCACTCATCTCCACTACAAATAGGAAAAAGAGGCTACAATTTGCAAGAGCTCACCAAAATTGAACAGTTGAAGACTGGAAAAATGTTGCCTGGTCTGATGAGTCTCGATTTCTGTTGAGACATTCAGATGGTAGAGTCAGAATTTGGCGTAAACAGAATGAGAACATGGATCCATCATGCCTTGTTACCGCTGAGCAGGCTGGTGGTGGTGGTGTAATGGTGTGGGGGATGTTTTCTTGGCACACTTTAGGCCCCTTAGTGCCAATTGGGCATCGTTTAAATGCCACGGCCTACCTGAGCATTGTTTCTGACCATGTCCATCCCTTTATGGCCACCATGTACCCATCCTCTGATGGCTACTTCCACCATGTCACAAAGCTCTAATCATTTCAAATTGGTTTCTTGAACATGACAATGAGTTCACTGTACTAAAATGGCCTCCACAGTCACCAGATCTCAACCCAATAGAACATCTTTGGGATGTGGTGGAACGGGAGATTCGCATCATGGATGTGCAGCCGACAAATCTGCGGCAACTGTGTGATGCCATCATGTCAATATGGACCAAACTCCCTGAGGAATGCTTCCAGCACCTTGTTGAATCTATGCCACGAAGAATTGAGGCAGTTCTGAAGGCAAAAGGGGGTCCTACCCGTTACTAGCATGGGGTACCTAATAAAGTGGCCGGTGAGTGTGTGTGTATATATATATATATATATATATTTTTTATTTTTTTTATAACGGATGAAAGTTTGGGGGGCAGTGTGCAAGCGTGATTGACATAACGTGAGGTCGTATTTATTTTTTAACGTGCTAAAATTTCATACGCAAATTTCATACGCGAATTTCGGACTCCGTGTGCAAGGGCCTTTAGTCCTCTGGTAATAAAGGTGTCAAAGAGCTTGAGAAAGAGCTAACCATGTGGTTTGATGTTATTTGTTAAAGTTTAAATGTAAGTAAAGTATGGAGTAAATCCCTCAAGGGAAATTGTAGTGGTGTATAGAGAACAAATTATCTACAGAAGATAACACCACATAAAATATTTTTGAATAAGCTAGTCATTATTTTCAAAATAAACACTGACAGGGTAACAAAAACATCCAACGCAGGTGGTCTCTTATGATATGGATATTTGACAATTATTCAACTTATTATTAACGTAATGGTGGGCGCGGCCATTGTAACTTGATTTTGTTGTGGCTTCCGGTCTCATCCGCTTCCAGTTATTTAAGCTGTACAAAAACAGTTTGTTATGCTTATTGATATTGCAAACTTTTACTCATCATATTTTATTATTGTAATCATAAACACTGGTTTGGAGCGCAAATTATTTGACCATTTATTGCATTTTGTTATTCGTCCAATTATTTATTGTAGCAGCTAATGAATTCGAAGTGCCCACACAATCACAGAAAATAGCTTACTTCCATGTTGCTACATAAGGTGAGTATATTTTAGTGCTCATACTAAAATATTTGCCACAATGGACTCTTTTCACATTTCTGGGGCTCTCAGAAGCAGATGTCATCATAGTTGGGTAAACCTGTGGTGAATGGAAAATACAACAAATATATATATTTTTTGCATCCTCATTTGCTCTTATAGCAAAAGGAAAAAAATCCGCAATATTGTTTCTATGACTTTCCAAAAGAGAAAAATATTGAGATTGATTACAGTCGTCAGAAGAAAGAAAAATGTCAAATTTGCCGTCACTCCCACAGCCGTTAACCAGTTTTCTGTAATTTAATGACAAGGTAATATAACTGTAAATCTTGCAGTTTTTAAATTTTCATTTTTATATTGAATATACATTTGTACCATGTTAAAGTGCCCCATTATGCTTTGAGAACATTTTTTTTTTATAAAGGTTCCTAATTTTGTGTTTTAGGTCTCCTACGATAGATTTACATGCATCAAAGACAAAAAAAAACCCAGTAATTTTCACAATATACATTGCACATCACTTCAAAGAGTCCTAATCTTCGAATGAACGGTTTTCAGTCTATCTAAGCCCCTCCTTTCGGCGAGCCTACTTTGCTCTGATTGGTCAGAGGGCTCAGTCTGCTCTGCTTGGTCTACTCTGCTCTGATTGGTCAGATGGCCCAGTCTGTTGTAATTGGTCTGCTCTGATTGGTCAGAGGGCTCAGTCTGCTCTGCTTGGTCTACTCTGCTCTGATTGGTCAGATGGCCCAGTCTGTTGTGATTGGTCTGCTCTGATTGGTCAGAGGGCTCAGTCTGCTCTGATTGGTCAGATGGCCCAGTCTGTTGTGATTGGTCTGCTCTGATGGGTCAGAGGGCTCAGTCTGCTCTGATTGGTCAGATGGCCCAGTCTGTTGTGATTGGTCTTCTGCTTACAATGCATGTTGGAAACAAAACGCTTATTACCATCTGAATTTCAGCTCTGGAAATTTCCTCAGCGCTTGATACACAGTGATATGAACAGGATCGGTTGGTTTTTCTTGTACCAATTACAGTGCGGCCCTCATCCTATTGAACTGCATGCAAATTGAATTTCGCCATGACATGTCAACCACGAACCAAACTCTTCCAGGCCTCAGCTACAACTAAAGTATTTGAGGGCGGGTAAAAGTAGAAGTTGTTTGCGGGCAGCCAATGAAGACCATAGGCTGGAATTATCCAAATTTTTTACATTAAGTAGGTATGTAACGAAGTGAGACTGGAATTGCTGACGACACGTTTAATCAATTCAGAATCAATTCTTTCTTTTAGGAAACAATGACTTTTGTGGGTTTTGATTTTTAAAACTTTGCAGACCTTTTACATTCATAAACCGCTATATTATGCACTGCATGAAAGGTAATATTCAAAAAAGCATAATAGGGCACTTTAAAAACTGGAAATATCATCACAGCTTTTGAAACGTAACAAGGGCCCATTGACCAATCAGAATCAAACGAAAAAGCATGTCTGATCTGATGTGTAAGGATTGTGTTTGCCATTTTTTGACATTCTCTTCTTTCTCTACAGGTGATATGGTGGTAAAGGCCTTATGCGTGTTGCAGGATATGAATAAGTCCTTAACTGTGTTTGAAAAGTATCAAGGAACATATTTGCTTCTTGTTCATCCCAATGAACAGGTAATTCAGTCAAAAAGCCATGGAGGAGAATAGACTAGTCTTCTACTTTTTACATATTTTTGGTAGTTCTTGGAATTGCTCAGTTTATTTTCTTTGCTCTTACATTCCAGGTGCGGCGTTGGGCAATCGATGCTGCAAAGACCATGAAGAGCGTGGACAGGGACGCCTACTATGACCTTCAAGATATATTCTTTTGCATGTTTTATGTCATTGAGCTTGGAATATCTTTGGATGTTCCAGACTTGGATCCTGGGTCTTACGCAGGGGGCACTATATCAATGCTGCCGTCTCACCTCTATGATTCGCAAAATAAGAAGAATTACTGGCTAGGTCTGTTTGAGTTTTCTACAAAGCCTCTTTTCTTACTGGTCTTTCCTTGCTTACTTGCTTCCTTCTGTTATTAAACTTGTTAAATTTGAGACATTTTGGTGTGTTCCTCTCTAGCTACAAGTTTGTTCCTCTGCCCTAACATATTTCACCATTCTGCAGTTAGTATAGAAACTGTATCTGTAGAAGAAAAAAGTAGGGATAAAAAAAATATTGTCTCTGGTGTCTACTGTGTACCTACAGTAAAATAAGTGTGGCACTGTGTCCTAAACGGATGCATGTTCATGTGTTGCACATGTCGTGGTGAGTGTAATATCACCTTTTTGAAGTCATTCTATTTTGTGCCCTATAGGCATCTGTATGTTGCTAACGCAGCTTAGCGCTGAGGCAATGGACTCTCTGTTCACGGGAGAGTTTAACATCCCGCTTTGCATACTTAACACCATGGATAAGCTGAAAAATGGTATGTCATGAATTTGTGATTTTTATTTTCTTCTGTTTTTAATGTGATGGAATGCATTAGATGCGGCTGGTTATAAAATTGATCCACTTAAAAAGTTTATTAATCTTTTTTTCAGAGGATAACCCAGCTTCCGACCCATTCTGGCCAGCCCTCCACTGTTTTATGGTAATTCTGGACCGACTTGGTTCTAAGATCTGGGGTCAGGTTGACCCTAGTATGGCTTTCCAGACCATCACTGGAGCAACCAGCTATGATATGGAAATAAGAAGCATCCAGCAAAAAACCATGGGGTAAGAAAGTCTGGTATTTATTGAAGTTGATTTATTGAATGCAATACACTCCTTGCACTGTTTCTCATTATGGATCTGCCGTAATTGTGGCTCAACAAAAGGCAATCGTTACTTATTTTCAAATGAATGAGATACTACTTTAAAAGCTAAATCACTGTACAATGTTTTTTCAAAGTATAAAATGCAGGATTTGTATCGAATGAAATTTACTATTACTATTTACTTATTAAATAATTTACTTATTTGAAACTTCTATTTACTTCTCTTCACCTGGCAAATTAAATATTATTTACATCATTGTCTAACTTATTTTTGGAATGTATCTTTAAAATCAATTTGTTAGCAACTCCCCATTACTATTGGTTGTCACTCCTTTAAAAATTAGGGTTACAAAAATTTGGTCACGCCTCCCAAATTCATTAAAGACAGACTAGAAATGTGATCCAAATTACAGCCTCATTTAATTTTCAATTTCAGTTGATATTCTTAATATGCGTCCAAAATGAGATTTAATTGCTGCTAAATGTGATAAATTAACAGGGAACATCAATAGATCCCATTAAAAACTGTACACTTTAATTTCTGCTTAAAGGGTTAGTTCACCCAAAAATGAAAATTAAGTCATTAATTTCTCACCCCCATGCTGTACCAACCCCGTAAGACCTTCGTTCATCTTCGGAACACAAATGAAGATATTTTTGATTAAATCTGAAAGCTGGATCACTGCTACATAGGCTTCCTAAGGGAATGACTCTTGACGGCCCAGAAAGTCATTAAAGAAAATGTTTAAATATTCCATGTGCCTACAGTGGCTCAACTATTAATTTTTCAAGCGACGAGAATACTTTTTGTGCGGAAAAAAACAAAAATAACGACTTTATTCGACTATTCCATTGCTTCCTTGTGGGCCTGAGACGAGAGTTCAAGAGATTTCCAGGACGCATGCGCGAGAACTGACCTTCTTCTGTCTTACAAGCAGAGAAAGACGCGCGTTCTACATAGTAGTAGAAGAAGAAGGTCAGTTCTCGCGCATGCGTCCTGGAAATCTCTTGAACTCTCGTCTTAGGAAGCCTATGTAGCAGTGATCCAGCTCTCAGATTTAATCAAAAATATCTTCATTTGTGTTCCGAAGATGAACGAAGGTCTTACGGGGTTGGTACAGCATGGGGGTGAGTAATTAATGACTTCATTTTCATTTTTTGGTGAACTAACCCTTTAAGTGCCCAATTTTTGACAAGACAAATGGTTTTAATAGTGCCTTTTTGGAGAGTAAATGGTTTGTTTTTGGAATGCCATGTTTGGTAGCCTGGGAAAACCCAGATAACTTCTGGCAAATTTAGATTTGCTCTGAAAGTTAGTCTGGCAAAGAGCTCATTCAAGCCCATTTCCAATCCGTAGAAATCGCGGCACCAATCAGAAACGTTGGGGCGGGCTTTACACGATGACGACAGCGCTGAGATTTTGAAACAGATTTTGTAGCCTACATTACAAAGATGGATGCCGCCGTCGAACATCACTCGTTCGAATCAGCTATCGCATCTGTTTTAAGCGATTTGAACGTTTCCTTTTAGTTAAAAACCGAGCGAAGAACAACACTCGGAGATGTTTCTCCGCCGCTCTGCATACGCCATCTCCTTCATCGCTCTGATTGGTTTTAGGTCTGTTGGTGACGCCCCTCTGGAAATGATTTGTCTATGACGCTTTGCCAGACCATAACTCAGTTACAACTGAGAATGGTCTGGTTTTAACCAGGCTACATGTTTGGTGGAAGTAGTGTTGGCAGAAAGAGCTTATTAATATGGGGTTATTTAATCATTTTTTTAAATTAACAGGAGTATGGTTAAAGTAGAGCCTGAATATGATGACAATATGGTGACTTGCAGTCAGATGGTGTACGACTGTTATGCCTCAGAAAAACCGAACCAAGTAAGATTTCTCTTTAATTGCTCTACTGCACCACAGCACTTTTACTTTATGTAACAAACATTTACTGCTCTCTTGGTATTATTTGCTTTTAATGTTTGTTAGAGAAAAGCTTATATATATATATTATTTTTTCTCCTGTTCATCATGTAGGCATCTGGTTCGTCATCCAACAGTGGCATTTGCTGCAACTATGTGATCTATGAGGATATGCAGTCTTTGGTCAAAGTGCTTGATTCTGAGATGGGCCAGAGCATGCGTGTATATGGAAGCACTTTTCTGTGGTTCATTCCATTTGTCCGTTCCATAATGGAACTTCCAGAGCTCAATGCCTCCTTTATTAGTGAAGTCATTCACTATCTTTGTGATAAGATTCTAGCTAATCGACATGTACTGACCGGACAGACAAGCATGTGCGATAAAGTAACCGAGTTCTTCACCCGCATCCTCATTCAAATTGTTGAGCTACACTCTACAGAAGGACGCATGGGAATACTTACTCGCTGTGCCCCAAAGTGGGTGGAAGTGATTGTCATGTGCATCGTCCTATCGGATGAACCACATGGACCACCAGACAAGATGGGTGGGATTCACAGCGTCAGTTCAACCTCGTACAATCTGGGGATAGTAGGAAGACTGCCTACGTCTGGAGGTGGCATTGGTGCCATGATTCTAGGCTGCATGACACTGATTCGACTGCTGCTGAAAGAAGGTATAAAGACGGGATCTGTCCCACGTGCAACCCATTTTTTGAATTTGCTTAACAAGCAGCTGCGTGGAGCTACAAACAAACGATGGAATTTAAAACATTCTGAATCTATAGAGCTTCAAAAGTGTTTAAAAAATGTTGTCCGGTCGATGCAAGAAAAAACTGCTTCTGCATCCTCTGTTGTTCCATCACCATCTACATCATCAGTGGAGGCAACTACAAACACTGTTATTTCCAGAAAAGCTATGCCAACCCTGCAACAACAACATGAGGACCAGGAGGCGGGTCCGAGCAGAGCCCGTGGCTCCTCTCTTATTAAAGAGGAGCCACATTTGAATTATGGCGATTGCTTCTTGGATGAGGATTTCTGCAGCGGTCTTGAGAACATCATAAAGGCTAAAAAGGAACCTCCTGCCCCCGTGTTAATTTCAGAGCTGAGACCTGCTGTTGAGTTGGAACATATTAAACCAGATCTGGATAAGGTGCAGGAAATTCGATCCAAATTAAATAACCAGAATTTGTCAAAGATCGAAGCCATTACCATAAGAAAGCCTGGTGAATCCTTAAAACCTGTTCATTTGGCATCAGCTAAGGAGAAACGTGGTGTTCAAGCTACTGAGGAGGATGCAGATGATGATGAACCCCTCAATGTTAGACTAGCCCAATTGATAAAATCTGCTCGCTACAAGGTTGAGTCTAGTGAGACTGAAGTTGACTCAAAGAAAAACATAGAGTCCAGTACCATTGTTATCTCTGATGATGAAGATTCTGATAATGCTGAAAGGCTAAAAGACATCAGTTGGCCTGTTGAAAAGGAATGTGCCACGAAAAATAAATCTACAGAACATCCTGATTTGCCTGAGAGTCCAGGGCGTGATTATGATGATCTCAGTGAATCACAAGTGTTTGAGTTTGAGACCCAGCAATATATGGCATCTGCCTGGAATGATTCGGCTTTTGATGCATCAGTTTTGACAAAGAAATCGGACCAAATACTCAAACCACAGGTGGAAGAAGCTCCTCATGAAGCATCTCCCTCACTGAGTTCAGAGAATGTAATGATTCCAGATGAGGCATGTCAGCAAGCAGAAGATAAGATCAGACAACCGCAGCAGTCACAAGAGCCAGCGGATCCATGTGAATTGTCCAAAGCATCCAGTAATGCAGAAAGCTGGGATAAATTTGTCAAACCAAAACCTCTGCAGGTTAAAAGCACAAAAACCATTCCATCTGAGAAGAGAGACAAGTCCAAGCCTAAAAAGCCATTGATAATTGATGCCCTTGCTCAAAAAGTCAGACGCCACCACTTGAAACGCAACTCCATATCTATGGACGTAGAAGAACCTTCCTCGTCAACTACTCCATCCTCATCTGGTATTCAGTCTTCCTCTCCATCCTCCAGCTCCGTTTCCTCTTCTTATTTTTCTGCTTCCACCTCACGTGGCACCCCTGCCATTGTTCCTCCAAAGAAGGTGCGTAAAGTTGTTGAGCCAGAATCAACAGCGGAGCGTTTGGGATTAAAAAAGAAGGAAAGAAAAGCCTTTGATCTTTCTCAGCGTTCACTAGATTGTGTGGCTAAACTGAGGTGCCATGGCCAGAAATTGCAGGTAGAACCACAACAGAAGATAAGGCGAGTGTGTCGGACCAATAAGACCTCTCCGCAAAAACGTATGGTAAAAAGCAACAAGAAACTTATGGGATCTCAAGATTTTCAGTTTTTCAAGCAAAGTCGTGAGAAGCATCAGAGGCCAGCAACAGGAGCTGTCACAACATTTGCTCAAAAACCAGCAAAGACAAATCAGCCAGGTGAAGTGCCCTTACCAAAACCTACAGCTGCAAGCAATGGGAATAGTGATTTGTTTCCCTGGTTTCAACCAGATCCTGATCAGCAGCAGGATAATGAAAAGACTACATCAGAATCCAGGGATTCTAGAGGTGATGGGGTTGGAAGTAATAGGACAATAATAGAGTCCAAGTACTTTCAAGCCAGTGAGCCTGCTAATGTCAACATGGAAGAAGAAAAAGCCACCCAGGCATCCAAAGAGGACTTTGATGAAGAATGGATGTCGCTCACTCAGATGGGACCCACTGACATGGAACTGTGCTCTCAAATGGAGGAGTTTGAGGATGAAAATGAAGAACTCTTTCTGACCCAGAGAGATCCTGTTGACATGGACCTTGATTCAGATAGTGAGTCAGATTTCCCCAAGCAGCCAGTGTTGACGCATAAACCTTTTCAGACTCCTCATGCCCCTCTTCCGAGTACCATCTGTAATGAAAAAGTTGCTGATCATTTGTTCTCGAAGCCTGCCCTGCCACCAATGAAAAAGGCCAAACCTTCTACCACAAAAATATACAACCCCAGCTCCCGCAGTGCCTCGCTAGTCCTTGAAATGGAAAAAGGAGCTAAGCCTCCTCCTGCTGCTAATGTTGCTAAAGCGAAGATTCCCAGACTGCCCCCAGCTATGCCACCCCCCAAAACATTACAGCCTGTGACGCCTCCACAATTCACAAAGCCATTTCCTTCACAACAAACTCCTCTGCTTCTGAGCTATGCTCCCAGGTTGGTCACTAGTACTAAAATAAGCTCTACTTCAGAGCCACCATCTTACAAGGTATACCAAAGGCCTGAGACTCCAGTTAACAAACCAGCACCCACGATGGATCAAAGCCCAAAGTTTGACCTTTCAATCTTGACCCAAGCAATCCTTAAATGGGAATATAGAATGCTTGACAATTACAAAACATTTGGGAGTCCAAATGATCTATGCCAACTGCCGCTGAAGGAGGTGCCAGTTAAGTTCCATAGCTACCTGGAGTACTTCAACAGCTTGTACCCCCTGCTGCTAATTAATGCATTTGAAGAGGTGGGACTACATCTTATTTTTGTAATGCCTAAATCTTTAGATGTAATAGAGACAGCATTTTAAACCGCTAATTTGTTCTTGTTGTGCTACAAAGTCCAAATCTTATGCTTGGAATAAAATGCTATGTATCAATGTTAATGATGTTAATCCATTCCATTTTCAATAGATGGCTAGTGAATGGCTCAGAGAGGGCAGGGTCAAGCTTAACCTAAGGGTCCAGGGTATAGAATACAGTAATTCCACGGCTAGTGCCAGCTTCACAGGTATGTCCAGCTATGTTGGGGAGATTATCTTCTATTAGAATACACTTTAACTGAACATTAGAAGTACAATTATTATTATTAGTTAGCAAACAGTATGCTTTCCTGTAGCTCAAAGGTTATGGGTTTGATTCCCAGGGAAAGCAAGAACTGATAAGATTGTAAAAATGTGTACCTTGAAATGCATTGTAATTCGCTTTGGATAAAAGCATCTGCCAAATGCATAAATGTAACTGAGTATACTTTCAAGTATCAACCTTTTCATAAAGTTGTACATATGTTTGTAGTGGGAATTTCTCAGGAAAGTGACATGAAGCAACTGTACCCAAAAGAAGATGACCTTGTCCTGCTTTGGCTGCCAGACAACAGTGGGGCGTATGCCCACGATGAACCACATTTCCATGAACCACATCCTCATTTCGGTTGTGTGTCCCGGTCCATTGTTTCCAGAGGTCCAGGTGTGGGACTTGTACACAATCCTTAATGATATAGCACATTTATGTGCACTGTCTCATTACTCTGTCTTTCCTTAGGTTCCATGTCAACCCTAAACTTGACAATTCAGACCCTTGGTAATGTGTCTTCGGTGAATGCCCAACCTGTGCGCTGTGAAGTTATTGGATCTTTGATCAGCATATTCCGGGAGTTTCGTGCACTATGTTTGCTGCAAAATGGACCGATGTTGCGTCCTGTTCTTGCTCCACATGTGTCTTATTTCACACACACTCTGCATAGCTCACCGGACCTGGACGCACCAGTGAGTTTGGGTTTATCTGAAGCAGTGGTGGTTCCTAATCTTGATCCCAGGACTTACAGCATTGCACATTCACATGTCTCCTTTATTTAATACACCTAATTCAAATAATCACTTCTTTAGTAGAGATCTCCATGAACTGAACTGGGTGTGTCAGATAAAAGGGACCAATAGTTGTAAGCATTTTCTTCCAAATTTTCGTACTACTTTACTATGTATTGGGCCAAAATTCAACCCTAGACAACTATTCTTGAGCTTTAGTACCTTTAGAGTGATGCATGTGCAAGTCCAATAGGTGAAATCTAATAGGTTGATTATGCTTTAACATTCCTTTATAATGTGCTCTGTTTTTCCTCTATCTTTCTCTTTGTATTCCAGGAGTACAACAGGGACCAGGCAAGAGCGATATCTTGTGGTCTTGCCATGATCGAGAGAACGCAGTCCTGTGGTCTTGCCATGATTGAGAGAACGCCGAAGCCCCCTAAATTTCTCCTTATTCATGGTCCTCCAGGAACTGGAAAGAGTAAAACCATTGGTGGCTTGTTGTACAAACTACTGTCTTCGGTATTTATCTTTTATCCCTGCATACTGTGCATGCTCACAAGGACACCTTAATCATACTGAAACTTTCAAAGTACATATTTGCTGAGTGTGTTTTGTGTGTGTGTGTGGTTATCTGGTTAGGGTAATGACAGTGTTGCTTCTGTGGGGAACCTTCACTCCAAGACTCGACGGACACGTGTTCTTCTCTGTGCACCCTCTAACGCTGCCATCGATAGTCTGATGAAGAAAGTCATTGTGATCTTTAAAGAAAAATGCAGAAACATCAACGCTCCTCAAGGTTTCCAAGCTTGCACATGCATTGACAGCTGAAAAAAGCATGCATGCCTTATACTGTCACATTAAAGCATATGACAACACTTTTGTGTACAGGTAACTGTGGCGACATAAACCTGGTAAGATTGGGAAATGAAAGAACCATCTCGAAATCACTAAAACCTTTCAGCCTCGACCACCAGACTAAAGCTAGAGCAAGTGAGAGACGAATTTATGCATTAACACCACCTGAATATGCATAACTCTTGAATTCTAATTTTATAAGCTGTGTGTGTTTCTGTGTGTAGAGCGAGCCCAGCAAACTGCAGAAGCTGACGTACAAACGCGGAAGGAGCAGCTGGACCAGACTATTGACAATCTCTCCCAGCGATGTGCAAAGACACCAAAGGATTCTATTGATGTAATGCATTCTTCACGGAATTATTACGCGAATTTCTAAAAGACAGAATATAGACTATGTTCTGAATGAAATGATAGCATACTGATTCATGCACTTTTATTTTAATGCTGTCTTAAATTTCTGTAACCTCATGGGTTGGATGACAGTTCAAGAATTTGATGGAGAGAAAGAGGCAGCTTCTGAAAGAGAGAGAAGTACTGAGTCGGCAGATTAAAGAGGTAAATAGTCATGCTATTTAACATGTTTCACAATACTTATTCTCAATATTACTAAAAGCAAACATATCTCTTGTATTTTTCTTAGAGTCGCAGTAGGCGACAAGAGAGTCAAGCATTTGTGCTGCAGAATGCTAATGTGATCTGCTGCACGCTCAGCACCAGTGGAAGTATTGTCCTCGAGAATGCATTCCGTCGACTGGGACATGAACCATTTAACTGTGTCATCATCGATGAGGTGCTAAAATCTCTTATAGTTTGTGGGGCCATTTTTTATGTTTTTGTTGTGGTGTTTTTTTCCGTTGTTCGTTTTATTTGGTTCAAATACTAAAGTAATAAGATTCTAAATACTCTTACCATCTATTGACATCTCCAATGAAGTGAATCTCTTACCGTTAGTACAACAAAACAATCAAGACTTTATCGTTTTTAATATCATACATTTTATGTGACTTTTGTCATGGTGCATATTTATCTTTGTTAATTTACTGAATATAAGGTTTATATCATTATAAACATACTAATACTCCTAATCAATACATTTCATAGCCACTTTGTTTGTCTCTGCACATTTGTAGGCTAGTCAGGCTAAAGAAACTGAGACGCTGATTCCCATGCTTTACCGATGTCCTTCCATAATCCTCGTTGGTGATCCCAACCAGCTTCCACCAACCGTTGTCTCCCTGGTAACCCTCCATATTAGTTGCATAGCATTTGTATTACCAGCATACAAATTTAAACCCATACTTTTTTTCAAAGCTTTGCTTTGTTCTAAATTATGGCAATTAATATAAATGGCAGTAAATTAAATCTGCAGAAAAACTTTATTATTATTTTGGCTTTTGCATGTTGTGCAAGATATGAAAACTTATTTGTTTGTGTGTGTTTGAACAGAAAGCAAAGGAGTTTGGCTATGATCAGTCTCTTATGGCACGGTTATGCAAAAATCTTCATCCATCAAACCCACAACTCTCTCCCATCCTCCTCCTCAGCGTGCAGTACCGCATGCACCCTGAGATCTGTGAATTCCCCTCCAAGTACATCTACAACAGTGCTCTTAAGAATGACTGGTATGCACAACTCTTTGTTTGGAAAATTTACACAAGGCATTTGTAGGGAGGGAGAGAGATAAGAATGCTCTGAAATCAGACTCCTCACCATGTTTATGATGTGTAGGAAGGGGCAGTGCAGGCAGTATTATCAGGAGCAGTGGATTATGACTGAGTCTGAGTTTAAACTTCTAAGGTCATTGAGAGGACCGTGCTCGTGGTGAGTGCTCAACACAATTTGCTGCGAACTAAACCGGGACCCTGGAGACCTTAAGAAACGTGATCAAGCGACATGGATGTTGTCATCCTATTTGGGTGTGACTCCCACTTTGCTGTGAGGGCCTATTCATTCATACTGAGAGTACAATGAAGAAAGCAACATAAGCCACAGATAAAAGGTGTATTCACCAAGAGCGACGTGAAAAGGCACTCCAGTTATTCTCATGCTTTATCAAAGGTGAAGTGTGCTGCACAAAATATAGAAACCAATCCTGTCGACTTGCTCTCCTTTGTGGACACGCAGGGTGTCTCACTTATTTGCCACAGATTCAATATCGGTTTGAACTGTGATATTGTGACGCAACCAATATTGCGAAGTTGTTGGCGAAACCTACCCCTATTATTTAGTGATGGTGTGATATAGGATTAGAAGAAGTTTTAAGATTATTCAGTATAACTATGTCAATAATAGAGGTGTACTTTTTCATTTTTCAAACATTTTATTTTAAAAATGCAAAAATTTACTCTTTTTGCTAACAATATTAATTATTTACAATCACAAAGGGGCACTTTAGTTGTGCCAAAAACCTCTTAATTTCATTACTATTAAATAAATCCCAAGCTGCAATTGACCCTTCGCTAAGCCACGCCCGAAAACCGCCACTGGCCAATCGTGTCTTAGCAACCGTAACTGGGCGCGGGAGGTCTGGCAAGCTTTCGAGCGAGGAAAACATGCCGAAGCATTGTGCGTATGGATTGTGCAGATCTGATACCCGGTATCCTAAAAGTTTGGATGGGGGAGTGGAATTTTTTTTCCTTCCCGAAAATCTAAAAGCCAAGGGGAGAAATGATGGGCGTGATCAAGCAGTGTGGGAGACCCCATTCACAACTAAATGTCGACAGGATTAACAAAAACACCTATTGCTTGGAAATAATGACGGTTCTTTGGTCATAATGCATATATTTTAACGTAAAATAAGACAATTAAAGACAAGACGGAGGCTCACTGACATACTTTATATTTCAGCATTTTGTTAATCGATGGCTCTCCCGGTGTTAGTGTTATTCCACAAGATTTATGGATAAACTGTTTGATTATAATTATTAGGATTATTTTCACATTTCACTTACCCTGCTGTGCACGATAACTGTTCCTCAATTTGTGTGTTTCCCATTTGAATGGTCAGCATATGAGGCGGCTGCTGCTTGCGCTGGGACTAACGTTATAAGCTTTAGCTTCAATCTTTAAGAAATTATTCTCTAATCGGTTGCATATTATGTCGTGGATATATCCCTTGAACGGAATACTGCAGTCCCTTTAGTCTTGATCTCTCAGATATTTCACATGTTCGCCAAAAATTACTAATTATCTCATTTGGAATGTCTGACACCGGTGCATACACACTGTAATAGATGTGCCAGCCGCGAAAGCTTGACAGGCGTAGCAACAGTAACTAGGGAGGGCGGGGCTTAGCGAAGGGTCAATTTAATAAAAAAAATTCAGAAATATTTTTGTCCAGTAATTTTTCTCAGTTCATCTGCATTGAGATGTGGCAAAAAGTAACATTTGCACAAGTAGAAAAAATGTGGGCTTCTGATTTATGTACTTTTGTCCCACAGCGAGACCGCCAAGAAACGCTGTTCCTTCAGCTGGCCCTTCAAGCCCTACAAAGTGTTCGACGTGACGGATGGGAGAGAGATGAAGCAGAGAGAGTAAGAAATGGAGGATTGTGGGTGGGACTTTACTGCCTCTTGTGTCTCTGTCTGAACACTTTACTTACTGTGTTTCTCCATTGGTCAGTTCATTTATCAACCCCAAAGAGGTCAGTTTGGTCTTGCTGCTGTTGAAGCTGCTGGGCGAGAAGCAGTCAGTGCGAGTGGGTGTCATAACGCCCTACAACGCCCAGAAACAACGGATACTGGAAGCCGTTAGGAGTTCAGGCGTCAACAAGCAACTTCAGTGAGTGCAAATTTTCTTAAGAAAAAAGTCTTTCATCAAAGTGTAATTATTTTTTTAACTACAGCGTGCCACAAATAATTAGTCTTAAATTTTTGTACAATGAAATGTTTAAATATACTCTTGAAAATATATACTTCAATTTTAATGTAGTTGTATTTTAACATGTGTAACTTGTCTTTTAGGGTGGAAGTAGATACTGTCGATGGCTTTCAGGGCAGAGAAATGGACTGCGTCATTGTGTCTTGTGTGAGAGCCAGCAGTGAAATGGGTTCCATCGGGTAAGTGTGTGCAATATCATTGTGACCTACAGAAATATTCATGTTGCAATGTTTGAACCAGAAACGTTTCTTTCTTAAGGTTTGTTGGAAATCGGCAGAGGATGAATGTAACCATTACCAGAGCCAGATTTAGTCTCTTCATACTGGGACATCTACGCACACTCAGGGTACCGTACAGATTTATGCACTGGCTTGTCTTGACCCACCAGAAGAGGTGCTGTTGTGTGGTTTTAATGACGTTTTAATGAAATCAACACATTTCTGCAGGAACAAAGGGATTGGGGAGAGTTGATTGAGGACGCTGGGAGACGGGAAGCTATAATCAAAACCATGCAAAGAGATTTTGAAAGTGATGTCAAGAAGATTCTTAAACGTGATCCGCCGACTCGCAGTCTCTCTCATCCCCCTGTTGGGCAATCAAGCACTGTGACCTCACCTGTTATGCGATCAAGCACTGTGACCTCACCTGTTTCACCTGTGCAGGCTCCCATGGAAATAGACCCTGCGCCACGCTCCAGCCGTGACATGAGCAGCGTTCAGGCACAGCAGCCTATGCCACGTCTAATACCTTTGGAGTGCCTTAAAGACCCACGGATAAATGACAGGCCCACAGACCCACGCTTTCCAGAGCGGCAGCCAATCAGAGAACCGGAACAGGGCAGGCAGGGCTTACCAGCGCCACGCCTCCCAACGCACAGAGCTAATTCATGTGACGCTGACTCTCAAAGTACCCGCCAATCTTCCAGACACTCTTCAAAACATCGCAGTTCCCCACCGCCTAGACGATACCGGAGATAAATTAATTATCCCTGTTTTTATTTTTCATTAAAGCTTAACAGCAATCCATTGAGAGAGATGTTTTTCCTCATGTCCTCTTCTCCATGTTTGAAAGCTCACAAAGGGTCTGTGTTAACTCTTTCTCAGGCAATTCGCTTGATGGCAGTGCTTGCCTAATCTTGGACTCCTCGTAATCATCCTTTGCTGCTAAACACACATTGAATATAGCTATTTTATTCATGAAGAGGGATGTTTTGTTCCTTACAACAGATTTTGTTTTTTTGGGCCTTGAGCGTGTGTTCCAAAAAAAAAATATTAATGCAATAATTGCACTTTCTTAAGATGTTGGACTTGCTCAAAAATAACCAATTTTGGTGTATCATTCTGTATAGTTTGTCACTTATTTGAATGTAGCTTTGATTTAAGGTTTGTTGCAGGGATGGATTTGCTGTGCAAGTGTGTTGTGCATGAATGCAGTGCCATTTGTTTCACTGGTTGTTTTATACTGACTTTTAACATACTGCATGTGGTGAGTAGGTCTTTTCAGTTAAACCTGGATTATATTTGATTGAGCCAACTGTTAGAATAGATTAATACAGGTAATTTTGGTAACAACTGTAATTATTTAGGAGGAGTTAAAGAAGGCCAAGAACAGAACCAGGGGAAGACTTCCTTTACATTTTAATTTCAAATGTAAAATGCCATGTTTTTGAATTGTAAATTAGTTAAGTTTGAAATTGTACAGTTGAAGTATGCTAGCCAGATAACTGGAGACTGAGAGATCGACCCGCTACTGTGGTGTTTTTCTTGAGTTTTATCTTTTGTGTGACCAGTTTTACAAAAGTGTACGAAGAGGTCTTTGTTTTGTACGGATGCACTTTTTGTAGACAGGAAATTAAAAAAAGTCCCTTTTTTTGTATTTACTTTTGGATATTTTTATTTTATTATTACTTGGTATTAAATGACAATCACTGCACCAATTGATTTCTGAAGCTCTGCAACTATTCTTGATAAACTGCTTGTTAGTGATGGGAATGAATCACTAAATCATATCATGGTAGGCTAGTCTATTTTTCCCCCTCTGGGAATCCATATTCTTTAAACACATTGAAATGGGAATAGAATACTATGGTAAATGAAAAGAATGTTGATCAATCATAAATGTATTGACCCTGATCTCCCTCCCCTCAGGTCTTTTTAATATTTATCTTGTCTGTCTGTGTGTGCTTTATTGTAGTAATAAGCCAGTTGCGGCTATGGTTTTATTTTACAGTGGTCAAATGACTAGTGTATGGTTTCCAGTGGCTTATTCCATATAACAACATGCTAATGATAACATACACAAATTCTACATATAGCCTATTCATACTATTATTACTAATATCAAGGAACAGTTAGTCTGCCGCATAATATAGATGTGCTATCCACTTTATTTAGTAAAACTAGTGAAAAATCGTTGTACACTCACCGTTTGGCGAAATCCAAGACTTTTCACTTGCGATTCGTCTAAAAACTGAGTCTGGGTATGGGCTGTGATTTACAAGGTTAAATTCAATTGTCACAAGACACACAAATGAGCTTTTTTTTTTTTTTTTACTTAATGTAATTTGAACCAATTGCTTGTACTATTAACTTTCCGTCGAAAGTCTAGTGTTTCACAGCCAAGCGACAGCCTACACGAAGACTGACAGGATTTGGCACGAGTTTCTGAGGTGAGGCACTTATACTTCACTACAAATTAAATTACTTGTATTCTGTTACCACAACGTTAAGACTAATTATTTTGTGAACAATTACAATTGTTACCGAGTCTGTTCATGTCATGTTCTCCTTAACAAGATGTTTGTTTTTGCAGAAAGCTTATATTTTACATTTTCATAATATTTCTCACCTGCGTAGATTTGAACCCTGTGGAACAACAAAGGCAACCTCGGGAGAGAATTCAATCCCTGTTTAAATTGAAGGTAACACACCGCCCGTGCAGTGTCTCTTTCACCACTAGGGGGTGTAACGCATCTAGGTTTACACCAGTTTGTCATGCCCCAGTTTTAAGCCCAAACAACTCTATATATTACACGTTTTAAAGGTCTGTGTAGGCCCACATAATCTGTGCTCACAAACCTCACTTACAGATTTCTGCAGCCAAATTTACAACCCAAATTTCAAACCTTCATAGAACAAATAGGTCAGTTGTTTTCAGTCTTGTCTTGTGGAATTTGGTTGCATTAGTGGTTTTAGAAGGTATTATGGTGGAACCATGATACAGAAATGTATTTGCTATTGGTCAGAGAGAACCAGAATCATACAGTGTTCCACTTGTGTGTTTAAAAAGAGGTGAAGGTTCATGATGTGATTCTGATTCTGATTTGTTTTCAGTATATGACCAACTCATCATCATCTTTTTAATCATGTTTCTACCTGAAGGTGGTTCAGAAGGAAGCTTTGGACTCATAAGGAACCATTTTGGTATTGATATTCTGAGGAAGCAGGTAATCAATGCTCGCTGACTAAGGTAAAAGCTTGATCCTCTCAGGTCAGGTGCAAAACACTTTGCTACTGTGACGTGACGCAGCATTTTCCTCTCGTCAGAGAGATGCCGGGTCAGCAAGGCCTCTGGAATCTTGCTTTTGTTGTAATTTTACATTATTGGTGCAGCATCCTGTTTGTTGACTCACTGGCTCGGGTGTCATTTTCAGATATTTCATAAAGCCCGATGACCGCAGGCCAAAGTAAATATAAAATTCTCTCTGGGTTCCTCTACGACTGTTATATAAGACCCAGTAGAAGATTTGATTGGGTCTCTGTTATCATGTTTTAATATACTGGATGAAATAATAAACTCACAATTTTTAAAGATGGAAATCATATTACTACATACAGTTAGTCGCAATATTATAATGAAGTGAATTTTAAATCATTTTATTTGTCGGTTTAAAAGCATGTTAAAAATTTTGTGCACTAATTTGTAAAATGATAAACTGACAATTAATTAAGAACAAAATTGTAATCATTTATAAGTTTTTACTGTTTCCTCAATATCACTTTCCATAATACTCTTATGATGTGAACACATCATTAGTCTTTTGTAAAAATAATTTTAACTAGAAAAAGCCATTTCCTTCATGACATTATCCTACAGGAAGTGTCATCATTTTGGAGAGAAAACTACAGCACAAACACCAGTAAGTATTAACAATTTATTTGATGGATTCTTTGGTGTTTTGTGTTTTTTGTTCACTTTTAAACATCCTATTCGATGAAATTACAGAAATCTGTATAGCCTACTGTAAAAAAAAATATATATATTATGTAATTTTTTGAAGTCTGAAATAAAACAAAGACTATTTCAGTCTTTCTTCTTCAAAATTTCACGTTTAATTCATTGTTACTTACTGATTCTTTGAAATCATTTGTTTACTGAAATGTACTTGCAATTTCTGAGTGAAAATTGTTTCTACACCAATCTTTTTTTTTCGGTGTAGATAGGACAATGACAAAACAATATGATATTATAAAAAGAACTCAGTTGCAATCTCAAGCTGAACTTGCTCCTGTGTAATAGCAATCTCTTCTTGTGCCTTCAACATAAGATACATATTTCAAAACAGGCCATACCACTATTAGGGAGAAGCTAAAAGATTTGATAAAAACTGTAAATAAGCTAATTAAATGAGTTGTAAAGGATCCAACTGTATATTTTGGGCAGACTGTCTGAAGATGAAAATAAGTGGCAAATACCTGTAAATTAGGTCATTGGTCAAAAACAGTGTGTGTGTGTGTGTGTGTATTGTTACAAAATGCAAAGAAATGACTGACACAGAAACAATTCAAACGTGGCCAAGTAACAGTCACATTTACTGTAATGTTTACAGTGTCATAAAATTTCATTCAGTTCTTTAATTTTGTAAATCTGTTAAGTTTACAGTGTAATAAACCCCATCCTGTACATCTCAGTAGAGTTTGCCATTTAATAAATTCTGCTTGGTACATCCAGTGCGTAAATTCATCCTCTGTAATACCTGACTGTAAAGTGTACAGTGTAAACTCTGCGTTATAGATCCTTGTACTATAATAGCTTTGTGTGCTGTAAAGTTTACAGTGTATATAATAAAACCTTTTTGCCTCTTGAGTAAAGATCCAAACCAAAAATATTCTCTACCAAAAATAGTCAAATAATGTGGGTTTATAATAAATCCATTTGATTAGATATCTTCTCTTACAAGTTGGATAGCGTGTTTGTGTCCTGAATACTTCGTAAATATCAATGATCTCTAACTGTGGCGACAAACATTCCTATAACAACCAGCGGTACAGTGCCTAAAATCTTAATATTCAAATATCACAATAATATTCATACTCTTTGCTTTTTAGCGGATAACAGTGAGCGCTCGTTACATACATCTGAATGTTACAAACTGCAGCGAGGGAGAGTAAAAAACGTGAAGCCGGAGCTTTCCTGTCTTTCTGTGAAGACAACCTGCAGTCTGGGATCACTGTGAGGACACGCCCCTGCACTGAGCCAATCAGAGTGAAGGAAGTGGGGTAAGTATTGAATTCCGCAGCTATTGCACAAGAAACTTGTTGATTTTGTGTGTGTGTGTGTGTTTTTGGTATTACTCGTCCTCAGCGTATATACGTGAGGCGCACATTTTGAGTTCCATTGATTTCCAGCTCTAACAGAGTCTTTTTGTTTGTCGTTCTGCCCCTGTAGAGGGCGATGGGAGAAGCAGAGTCTCTCAGGAGGCGGTGGAGCTCAGCAGGGTGGCGAGGAGCGGGCAGAGCAGAAGTGCCAGGCTCAGGGAGAGCTCGCTGGCACGGTTGCACTTTTTGCCTCCTTCGCAGCGCGACTGTTGGCACAAAACACCCTTAAAGTCAGGCGGACAGCTGCAGCGCTGGTTCTGAACACACGTCCCCCCGTTCTGGCACAAGAGTAACTCCTCGTCACACACGTTCGCTGTGGAGAACATAGAGGAAAAGTTCATTTACAACATTCCCAATCTTTTTTTATATAATTATGCAAATACACTGTTAAACCCGTAATATTGGGAAATATTAGTACGATCAAAAATAACTTTTATTATAATATGATTTAAAATGTAATTTATTCCTGTGATCAAAGCTGAATTTTTACCGTCATTACTCCAGTCTTCAGTGTCACATGATCCTTCAGAAATCATTCGAATATGATGATTTGCTGCTCAAGGAACATTTCAAACAATGTTGAAAACTGTTTTTGCTACTTAATATTTTTGTGGGATCTATGATGCACTACCATTCAAAAGTTAATCATTTATTAAGATGCATTCAATTAATCAAAAGTGGCAGTAAAGACATTGCAAAAGATTTCAAATAAATGCTGTTCTTTTTAACTTTCTATTCATCAAAAGAATCCTGACTTTTCTTTTTTAATCATGGTTTCCACAAAAATATGAAGCAGTACAACTGTTTTCAACATTGATAATAATCAGAAATGTTTCTTGAGCAATGATTTCTGAAGGATCATGTGACACTGAAGACTGGAGTAATGATGCTGAAAATACAGCTTTGATCACAGGAATAAATTACACTTTAATTTATTCAAATAGAAAACAGTTATTTTAAATTGTAATAATATTTCACAATTTTACTGTTTTTGCTGAATTTTTTATCAAATAAATGCAGCCTTGCTGAGCAGAAGAGACTTCTTTAAAAAAAAAAAACTGAATTAGTCCTTTTTATTGGTAGTCTCTCTCTCTCACACACACACACACACACAGCCATGATCATTTTCTTGGTGGCTTGTATCTGTGTCATATTTAACATGGGCGTCTGGTGCCACAACGGGTCGCAGGAGTCTGGGTACTAATGAGACCAGGTGCTACACACCTGACCCCAAACTGTCTCAGCAGTGAACAATGAGTGTGTGTGAGAGAGAGAGAGAAAGAACAGAAAATGATAAAGAGGAGCATGACTATTGCTATGTTCTGAATAGCATATTGCCATATAATTTTTCAGATTTTTCTCATTTGCCTGGAATACCTGGGATGACCTACTACTACTACAATACGACCAGAGCGCACAGTGCTGAGCACCGTCTCCCAGAATGCAACACCATTAATTCGTCACACTGGAAATGGAAGGTTAGGTTGAGGGTAAGTAATATCAGTTGTAGTTTTAATCTCTTGACTCATTTTACACAGAATTAAATTAAAAATGTTAAATAATGAAGAGGACATGGAAGTAAACAGGCATGTGATCAGATCATGTGACAACAATGTAGCACAGAACACAACAGTTGGATTTATCTGGAAGTAAAAATCCCATTCATTTTCTCCACAGGGGAATTGATTCTGAATAATAACTCATAAACCTTTAAAGACAGACGAACTGTGAGCAACATAGTTGTTAATCGATTGTATATGCTTTTGTTGAAGCCATCAGCCTGTATTATATATAAAAAAAATCATATTTAACAGTGGAATTCCAGGTGAAAAACTACATTACCCATAATTCTGCAAAGAAATCTCCATCAATCAGAGAATCGAAACAAATTGCACTAAATAATGTGTATATATGATACGTATCAGTTTTATATTTATCTATCATTTTGAATTTGTGTAATTCACAATGCTTCATGGGATTGTAGTTCTTTCACTTTAAGTCTTGTACCTTTGTCTTTTTGCCTGATTTTTAAATACTTTTTTGCTTCAAATCAAAGTGTGTAATGATGGGATTCACCTCACAGCTGGTTGGTTTGGTTGATGGCTTTTAACTCCCTAATTAAGACTTTTGAAAAAACTCCTATGGGAAAAGTACTTCCGGAAGAAAGGCCGCTGAAAAAGTGGGCGGCCACTAATGCACTCTATTACTACTTGAAGTCATTACATGATGCATTCGTTTTCACATACTATTATTTGGAGAAATAGTATGCAGTGTATAGTGTATACGGCACAGAATTTTTTTTTTTTTTGCATTGCTGAAATGCTTGGTGTAGAAACCGTTTTCACTCAGATATATACAGAACATAACAGTCTTTGTTTTGTTTACAAATAAGTTTTTACAGCGCATGATATTTTATAAATGTAATACAAAAAGCTCTAAAAGACTTTGTCCAAACCATGTGAAAATATTTAAATATTATTAACCAAACAGCTTATTCAGTGCATTTACTAGTACCAGTAAAAACTGGCTGCATGCAGATCCACTTAACACTAAAACAAAACAAATCTATTTGAAGAAAATGACTAATCCAGCTCCGGAAGTGTGTCCCTAATGGATTCTCCCCTGTTCTGTCTCCTCACAGAGCTAGCGGTTCTGGCCGTGGGCCAGTTTCATCTTAAAGATGGATCACAGGGAAAACGCTGTGCGCAGGGGTTCTAACATCACCATGGGAATCCAGGTACAAATGTGATCATTACCCCAAAAAAACAGTTTCCAATAAACAAGGGCTTCTTAGAACGTGCAGATAGCGGGAATACAAGCCAAACCCATTATACACCAGTATAATCTATAGAGAGCCTAAGTCCTTCCCCTTCCGGTCGACCACCATGGGACCTTATTTCGAAAAAATATTATATGGTAGTCAATGGCGAGAGACAACAAATATTTTGATCTCGTTTGAATTGTGCCCTGAATTACACACATGATGTTTGTCAATTTAAAAGATACATTTTAAAGTCCAGAAAGTCGCAGTTTTATGTAAAACTGTTGAGGTATAAGACAATACGTAATTACAAAGACTACAAACCCAAAAGTCACACGTGACGTCATACCTTTTCTCTCAATGAATGAAGCTAACGTTGTCATTTTTTCTATAGTCTTACATTATAATCATAACGTTACGCCGTCATGCCCTGAGTGTTTTGTACCAGACTGCACACATATGAGCAACGGATCTTGCTCGTTGTTTCGCTTCCCGGGAGATGTAGTTCAGTTAGTTTTATGTGAAAATCGCTTAATGTTACTCTTCTGTTTTATGACAAACTGCGACTTGCTTGACTTTCATATCTTTTAAATTGACAAACATCATTATGTGTAATTCAGGGCACAGTTCAGACGGAATAAAAAGATAAGTTGTCTCTCGCCATTGACTACCATACATATTTTTTCCGAAATAAGGTCCCATGAGCCGGAAGCGGAGGGGAGGGGCTTAGGCTCTCTACTGTGATAATAGGTCAGCCTCCTGTCAAATCAGATCAACCCCGCCCTCTTCATTATGAGACCACACCCCCTTTTTTGTGCAACACAACTTCACACCAATTCCAATGTTTGAATCATAAGCCTTACAATGTTTTTGTCACTACACTCTTAAAAATAAAGGTTCCAAAAGTTTAGTAACACTTTTCTTTCGATCAATCGATCTACTAGCTATAAGTAACCTTGCAACTACATGTCAGAGTATTAGAGTGCTTAATATCTTAATAGAGTGCTTAATATCTGCTAACACTTTATTTTGATGCTCCTCCAACAGACCTTCTACTGACTATAAGTAACTTTGCAACTACAAGTCAACTTATTCTTCTAACCCGACCCTAACCTAACAGTCTACTAATACTCTAATGAGAGTTAGTAGAATGTCTAAAGTGGTCTATCGAAATAAAGTAAAAACCAGAGGTTTTTGTAACAATGCCATAAAAGAACCATTTTTTGTTCCCCAAAGAACCTTCAGTCAACTGTTCTTAAAAGAACCATTTTTTTTTATTAGTGTGAAAAACATTTTAATAATCTAAACCTTTTTTCCACTATAAAGAACCTTCTGTGCAATGGAACGATTCCACACTCTATAATATAAAGGGTCTTTATACGCTGATTTCACGCAGCCGCCATTTTGAAATGGCTCCGGTGGGAAGTAAACCGGAAGTGTTGCCTTTAATCACAGGAGAGTCGCGAATGCGTTGGCGTAGTTATTAGTTATTCTAAAAATGTACATACATTTCTTTCATACTTTAGACTATATACAGTGAAATTCATTTATAAATAAAATTATTTTTTTATTTATAAATAGCCGCATCTCAAGCAGCATATACACTATAAAAAATATTGTTGGTTTAACTTAAAAAAACGTAAGTAACCTGGTTGCCTTAAAATGTTAAGGTGATTGAAATTAAACCAAACCCCATTGTATTAACAACATTTTTTAAACAACAGAAACTCAAAATATTATGTTATCTGAACCACATAAATTATCCAAGTTGATTTGACAAAAGAAAAACTGTTGTTATAACAAATCAGGATTTTTTTTTTACGTAGTGGTTTGACTGGTTTGCAAGGTTAACCCCTGATGGTAGTTGGCGTAACTACACCATTAAAGCATCTTTCTCATTTCTCGGCCATTCGGAAGTTGAATTAACTCTGCTTTAACTCCACAGTGTAAAGACTAATGACTGCAAGCTAGAACTAGTAATTATTTAAACTGTTACTTTTATTTCAGATGGCTTTAGGAAACTAAACTCTTGTGAAGTTCTGTGCCAATTAATGTCTGATTTAAACCTGAAATTGGCCGAGGAGAATGGAAAGACGACTGCACACTTTGACATTGATCAGTTAATTAGATGGGAGAGTTGAATGAAGTCTGATTGGGAAGGTACTTACGGAAACAGCCCGGTTTCCAATAGTAACCGGGGAGACATTCATCACATTTGACTCCGGTTGAGCCCTCTTTACACTGACAGAAGCCGGTCCCATTACAGCGGTCGTGCACTGAGCCCATCGTATTACAGTTACACTCTGAAAAGAACTAGAGAGAGTTAGTCACAGGAAAAGGGCTGAACTTGTACAGCTTATTTCTGAGTGTCAAAATGGCTTGATAGTTTTAGTTGATTGGCAGGTTTAATTCAATTCACCACTCAAGTTTGTTTGCTCTGAATAAATATATTGCGTGCATATGGCATGCACTTGTGGCCATTATATTTAATCATAAAAATGTAATCTTAGTGCTTTCTAAACTGTGTTTTTATTTTCTGTAGTTGCTTTTTGTATTTAGAAAATAAGCATGCTATTTATTTTTTTGCAATGATATGTCAGTGGTTAGTTGAATGCACATGATTGGCACCATAATGTCATAATTACCAGTAGGAAACTCTTGAAAATTCCTCATAACTGTAAATACCCATTTGCTTCTGAGTTTTCCGTTTTAATTGTGAATGTTGATGTAATGTTTAACAAAGAACAGTGACAAAGTGTGCCTGAAAACATTCGTTCAGCTGGTTTATCAGGAGACAGACTTGATCAAACTGCATAATTATCGCAGATAACTCAGTGCTGATGGGTCCGAGTTAAAACTCAGAATAAATTTAGCACTTCAGGTTCCATCAACCTTAAGTCAATGGGTTTTTGAACAGGTTTTTGATTAAATGCCTGAAATAAGGTCAAGCTCAAGATATTGTCACATTTCATTCTTCAACATAAAATACCAGTAATACCCCCGTGTAAAACAGCCGAACAGGTAAACTCATCTACTCACTAGTTTGCTTTCACAGCTTTGCAAAATCAAACTTTCAGGGAAAATATTTTCTAAATAAAGACTGAAAGAGTTGTTGCATGAAGCCCGAAGTCATGTGACCGTGGTGTTGTTCATTTATAGCCTTAGTTTAGCTTTATACTTCTGCTGATTGTATTAAAGGGTTAGTTCACCCAAAAATGAAAATGCTGTCAGTAATTACTCGCCCTCATGTTGTTCCAACCCCGTAAGACTTTCGTTCATCTTCGGAACACAAATTAAGATATTTTTGATTAAATCTGAGAGCTGGATCACTCCTCCACTTCTATTGTAATTGAAACTGGCCGGCCCAGAAAGTTATTAAAGACATCATTAAAATAGTCCGAGTGACTACAGTGGCTCAATCTTAAGTTTATCAAGCAACGAGAATACTTTTTGTGCGCAAAAACCCCCCCAAAATAACGACTTTATTATTCAACTATTCATTTTCTTTAGTGTGGGCCTCTGACGTGAGTTCACGAGAGCGCCACGACGCATGTGCGAGAACTGAAAGTTCACTAAAATGAAAGTATTCTCGTCGCTTGATAAACTTAAGGTTGAGCCACTGTAGTCACTTGGACTATTTTAATGATGTCTTTAATAACTTTTCTGGGCCGGCAGATGCAATTACCTAGCATGAAGGAGTTATCCAGCTCTCAGATTTAATCAAAAATATCTTAATTTGTGTTCCGAAGATGAACGAAAGTCTTACGGGGTTGGAACAACATGAGGGCGAGTAATTACTGACAGCATTTTCATTTTTGGGTGAACTATCCCTTTAAGGCTTCAAAATTCAAAAAAGTCCAAAACATGCAAGAATCATGAACTTTTGTCGGCCATGGAGGTTATTCTCTGCAAAATACAAAAGCCAATGGAAAAATCCCACTGGGTTTTTGTCAAGGGAATCAGGGTGATGCTAATTTTCGGGTTGGCCTACAAAAATACATCTTCACTGCAGCACTCTATTGCATTGCTAATATATTAGTATATTATTCATTTATAAATATTGTTAATCACACAATTTTTGGTAACACTTTACAATAAGGTTCCATTAGTTAATGTTAGTTTCAATGCATTAACTATCATTACATTTGTTACAGTATTTATTGATATTTGTTAACGTTAGGAAATTAAAATACAACTGTTCATTGTAGTTATGCCATTTTTGATTTGAATAATACATTAGTAAATGTTAAAGATTAATAAAAGCTTTAGAAGTAGCCTATTTTTATCGTTAATGAATGCAGTTAAATGCAGTTTACACAATTTTTTTAAGATCTAATGTATTATGTCACTGTTATAGTCAGCTGTAAATTATGTTTTATTATTTTTAGAATCTATCCGCTGATATTTTGATATATAACAGTATATTGCATCGGCTTGCAGCCAACTGCGTTAGAGCAAATCACTGCACTTCTGTGAGAAAATAGACACAATAGACTGTCGCTAGTGCTCTTGTGAGCTCAGGATGAGGTAAATGTGCTCCTCGTGGAGATCCTGGTGTTGACCCTGTGCCATGTTGGCACCTGGCACACACCCGATGAGGGCGAGCGGATTTGTGCTGACTTCCCAGCACGCGTTCATTTACCCCGCGCCCTGCCTCCTCGTGTGGCAGATGGACTCTCTTCTCCGTCCTGGTACTCTCAGCGTCCGCTTGGAAGCAGAGCTGCTGATTTAAGAGCTGTGACATCCGGGTTTATTTCTGGAAGTTTATTTGAGGACCGCTGGGAATCTCTAATATGACGCTCCCAGGAAGATAATGTTGCAGTTTAACTTTGTTGACTGTGGCGCCCAGTGCATTTTCTCTTTCTTCCCTCATTCAGTGGTCTTTGTATTACTTTCTCCTGATTACATCCCTAGTATTTTTCTCCAATATGTCTTTTTTGTTACAATTAGAGGCATTTCCTGGCTCTCTTTGCTGGAAGATTTTTTTGATCCAGATTTCTTGCTGTTGGATTTCTCTGAGTGAAGTCCACACTGGGTCTCTCTACCACTGGATCACAGGTAGTCGAGGGAGACACATTTCCATTTACACCTGGTGTATTAATCTGTCTCTTTTGTCCAGGAATGGAATGGAATCAGGAATGGTACATATTTCGTCTTCAAACCAAACTTGGCTCAATCCAAATGCGTTTTCGACTACCTCTGGAAGTGGTTGAAAGTGAATAAGCTCAAAACGTTTTAGACCCTGTTCATCTTCACCCTGTTTTTATCCAAAACAACTTACAATGCATTCAACACATACGTACATTTTCTCTGGGAATGGAACCCATGACCTTGGCGTTGCTAGTGCCATGCTCTACTGTTTGAGCCAGTGACATCATCTAATCATCTATTATGCCTCTCTAAGATTTATGCTCAAATGCATGCATAGTATTCTAGTTATAAAAATGTGCGCTGTTACTCACCGATACACACGTTCTCGTCATCGGGCTCCGCAGAGTTGTTTTTGAAGAAGCCCATGCGACAGTGCTCGCAGTTCTGACCACGCGTGTTGTGTTTGCAGCTCACACACGTGACTATGTTCAGGAAGTCGATGTAACTGCAGCGATTCGAGTGACCGTTACATTCACAATCTGAGAGGGAGAGAGAAAAAGGCAAAGTCAGCAACTCTAGATTAAAATAAAGAAGGGTTAAAAGAGAGAAGAGTAAAGAAATGTGCTGGTTTCTAGGATGTCGTTTTTAAGTTCAAGGTGTTGATATCTAAACGTGGGTGTTCATATGTTAATAAGCTCATGACATCATAAGCGTGATGATTTAAAAAAATGATTAGAGTTAGAGTACATCTACAAACTACATCAATCTCGATGCTGAATCGATAAAAAGCTATCGACTCTTTTCTTTTGCGTCACTTTGTGTCTTTCCTGCTGCACCCACCCACAGCACTGACAGCTGAAATGAAGATTTGTGTGCGTGTGTGTGTGTTGCTGACAGGGCGATATCTCACACACTCTTACGGGAGTCTTGCCCACTCCGCATGCACGTGAGTGTGTGTGTGTGTGTGTGCTCTAGGGATGTTGGGAAATCTGATGACAGATGTTTTCTCTAAAACAGCTGTTTCCTCGTCTTCTGAAGCAGATCTTTTTGTCAAACTGCTTGGCTTCTCCCAGTTCCCATTCACACCTGTCCTGTATCCTACTCTCATGTCTGTGTCTTTCTGTCACTCATAGAGAATCAGTGTGCAGTGCGTTAATGAACTACGTTCAGTGTAGCCCCTTTTTGAGAAGCTGAATCAGTGCCTTTCGCTTGATTTGCATCAGAGTGTCCTTTCAGCAAGCCACTCATTGCACTTTGACCTCCATGTGACGGGTACAAGGTTCTAGGTAGCTAGCCTAGTGTACACTAGCTGGTGTACACTTTTATTCAGCAAGGGTGCATCAAATTGATCATAAGTGACATTAAAGACAATCATAGTTACAAAAAGGTTCAATTTCAAATAAATTATCTTCTTTTAAACATTCTATTCTACCTTCGATGTTACTGGTTCAGTATTTCTTCCCTCTGGTTTTTGATTTGATTTAGATTTGCTACACTTTAAAGATCAGAGGCAATCAGGGTCAATAATTTGAACTTTAACCCCCAGTATCACAGACAAGGCTAAAGCCTAATACATGTTTGAGCTGGTTTAACTGAACGCAACTTGCACTGATATACCTTAAAATATGTCAGAGTCATTTAGTCTCAAGATGCACACCAGTAATGTTTTTTTCTCTAAGGCATGTTTATAAAAGCTACTTAAAGGTCCTAATTGAACTAAGGTCTTATCCTGGCTTAATCTAAACCCTGTCTGTGAAACCAGGCCTAAGTGTTACATTACAATGCTTGAGCTGGGGATAATGCTGTAGCTTGATGCGTGCTTCACAGAGGTCAGGGTATTGGGCAACACTGATGTGAATCATGTGAAAGAACTTTTGTCAGCTCCAAACAGGATTATAATATGTTTATAGACCTTGAACATGTTAGACGTGTGGGACATTTCACCAGCATTTAAAGCATGGCCATTAATGAAACTTGTATAGCTAAATCTAATGTTGCACTTGTTGTATATGTTGTTGTATCAAAGGCGCAACTGTGATATTTCATATTACAGTAAACTTATACAAATGCATGTTTAAATGCATATTTACCAGACCAATTAATCAACTTTATGAATTTTTAGCTACTTCAGAATTTTTTAGCACTTCAGAAGTGTTTTTAAATATTTATGCACACTTTAAAAGGGCCCGAGAGCGAGAACTCAGTACAGAGCCTGTCTCAGCACATAGGAACAGGCAAATCAATTAAATATAAATGAGTTCCACACAACACACTTACCTTACATGTCACAAATAATGAAGAAAAGCAGGGATGAAGGGATCGATGGAAGTTAGAAAGGAGACATGAAGTGACATGTTGAGAAACATCATCAAACTCAGGTTCTAGATTCTACTTTTCCCTTCTATTCATAAACACTGTAATATCACGTTGAGAGTTCAAAAACTAACCGTTCCTTTTCACTTATAAACACTGTAATGTGTTATAGAACATTCTTGTAAATACTGTGATGTTGTACTTTGAGATCTCTTTGATTTCTCATCTCATTATCATGTCTTCCTCACCTTTAAAGTCGTCATATATGATGCCTTTTAGCTGGACAGTCTGTTGCCCTCCAGATAGTAAGAACTTCAGAAGAGCTTCGGAGAATGAAAATTTGTATTTTACATGTTCATCTAGAAACACTGCGATCGAGTCTACGGCAAGCAAATCTGCAGCTATCAGTCCGGTTACAGGAGGGATGAGTTGTCTAACGCGGAAAAGAATTATTGTGACATTTAACAGGCCCAAAAATTCACTACCAAGCATGTTTACTACAATATAACGTGGTCTAAAAACTAAAAACTACAGAAGCTAATACAGTTTATTGTTTATGTGGGTTCTAATGACTATGCACATGCAGTTATAGACTTCACTACTTGCAATGCACTCCTTCTCTACCTCACTCTACCTTTTTTATTCTCTTCATCTTTGTCTTCCATTTTTTCTTCTCTCTCCCACTTATGGGTGTGCTTTCCTTCACCCTCTTTTGAGTGTTTGTGTGGCTCTAGACGAGCAAAGAGAAGGACTGCGCAATCCACAGATCAATCAATAATGTTTGAATCACTCACAAGGCCACGATGAAAAACAATACCACTTATGAATTGATCAGACAGTGCCATTTTTACTCATCAAACTGGGTAATATGCACCTATAAAATCTATCAAATTAAATTAGCTTTAATGAAGTCTAAAAAAGCCTTTATAAGAAAAAGATGTCATTTACCATTCGAGAGACCAAAAAACACTTTCCATGGAGTTCTACATTATAAATCAAGTCTAGATTTTATACTACAGGCTGTTTGAAACTACCAGCTGAGCCATACCTTCAACATCTGTCTGTTTATGAGACCCTTCCTTCTCCTCCTCTTCATGTGGCACGTGTATTGATGAAACCATCTCTACTTTTGATTCAGCAGATTCCGATATTGGCCATAAAGACTCCTTTATTGGCCTGACAGAGTGCAGCATTGGTGGGATAGATTCTGGTTTTGGCTTAGACTCTGGGTTTGGCAGCAGAGATTCGTGTATTGGCTCATGAGACTCCACTTTTGGCTCAATAGGCATGTGTCCATGAGGTTTATGTATTGACTCATGATGTTTCACTATTGGCTCATGAGGTTTATACATTGACCCATGAGGATTCACTATTGGCCCATGAGGTTTATGCATTGACCCATGAGGATTCACTATTGGCCCATGAGGTTTATGCATTGACCCATGAGGATTCACTACTGGCCCATGAGGTTTATGCATTGACTCATGAGGATTCACTATTGGCCCATGAGGTTTATGCATTGACTCATGAGGATTCACTACTTGCCCATGAGGTTTATGCATTGACTCATGAGGATTCACTACTGGCCCATGAGGATTATGCATTGACTCATGAGGATTCACTACTGGCGCATGTGGTTTATGCATTGACTCATGAGGATTCACTACTGGCTCATAAGGATTCACTACTGGCCCATGAGGATTCACTACTGGCTCATGAGGATTCACTACTGGCCCATGAGGATTCACTACTGGCTCATGAGATTTATGCATTGACTCATGAGGATTTACTACTGGCCCATGTGGATTCACTACTGGCCCATGAGGATTCACTACTGGCTCATGTGGATTCACTACTGGCCCATGAGGATTCACTACTGGCCCATGAGGATTCACTACTGGCCCATGAGGATTAACTACTGGCCCATGAGGATTCACTACTGGCCCATGAGGATTCACTACTGGCTCATGTGGATTCACTACTGGCCCATGTGGATTCACTACTGGCCCATGAGGATTCACTACTGGCCCATGAGGATTCACTACTGGCCCATGAGGATTTACTACTGGCCCATGTGGATTCACTACTGGCCCATGAGGATTCACTACTGGCCCATGAGGATTCACTACTGGCCCATGAGGATTAACTACTGGCCCATGAGGATTCACTACTGGCCCATGAGGATTCACTACTGGCTCATGTGGATTCACTACTGGCCCATGTGGATTCACTACTGGCCCATGAGGATTCACTACTGGCCCATGAGGATTCACTACTGGCCCATGAGGTTTATGCATTGACTCATGAGGATTCACTACTGGCCCATGAGGATTCACTACTGGCTCATGAGGATTCACTACTGGCTCATGAGGATTCACTACTGGCCCATGAGGACTCACTACTGGCCCATGAGGATTCACTACTGCCCCATGAGGATTCACTACTGGCCCATGAGGTTTATGCATTGACTCATGAGGATTCACTACTGGCCCATGAGGATTCACTACTGGCTCATGAGGATTCACTACTGGCCCATGAGGTTTATGCATTGACTCATGAGGATTCACTAATGGCCCATGAGGATTCACTACTGGCCCATGAGGATTATGCATTGACTCATGAGGATTCACTACTGGCCCATGAGGATTCACTACTGGCTCATGAGGATTCACTACTGGCCCATGAGGTTTATGCATTGACTCATGAGGATTCACTAATGGCCCATGAGGATTCACTACTGGCCCATGAGGTTTATGCATTGACTCATGAGGATTCACTAATGGCCCATGAGGATTCACTACTGGCCCATGAGGATTATGCATTGACTCATGAGGATTCACTATTGGCCCATGATGTTTATGCATTGACTCATGAGGATTCACTACTGGCCCATGAGGATTCACTACAGGCCCATGAGGATTCACTACTGGCTCATGAGGATTCACTACTGGCCCATGAGGATTCACAACTGGCTCATGAGGTTTATGCATTGACTCATGAGGATTCACTACTGGCCCATGAGGATTCACTACTGGCTCCTGAGGATTCACTACTGGCTCATGAGGATTCACTACTGGCCCATGAGGATTCACTACTGGCCCATGAGGATTCACTACTGGCTCATGAGGATTCACTACTGGCCCATGAGGATTCACTACTGGCCCATGAGGTTTATGCATTGACTCATGAGGATTCATTACTGGCCCATGAGGATTCACTACTGGCC